GTGATGGAGGGAGGGAGGGAGGGAGAGGGGGAGGGAGGGAGACAAACTACGACGACAAACAACAGGACAGGGACCCACCATCTCTGCCTGAGAATTAGCGGGACAGCAGAGAACCTCACAGCGCAAGGAAATAAACTCGTTGTTTGTGGAAAAAGGGCGAAGCGGGAAAAAAATGATATCGCAAAAACAAAGTTTAGGAATGGTATATTGTTATTTTTGTGGTATTTTTCAGAGGAATCCCTTTCTCCCAGTGGCACGGTGCAGGCAGCAGCGCGGTGGACGGGTGCGCCAAAAGTGATGGACGAGCCTGGGGGGGCTGCTGGCGTGCGAGGCAGTGCGTTTTGGATCGTGACCCACCACCGCCGAGGAGGACCCTCCGCGTCGCCCCCGTTGCACAAAACCCTGGAAAGCGTTTAGCGAGCGGCATGACGGCCAGAATGTATTGTGTAACGCACAGCGAGCCGTCGGGCCGCCCCGCGTCACTGTCGCCGCACAAGAGCGGAGGGATCGCAGGGATGGCGTATGCTTGACGGGGAGGGATTCCTGCGGTCGCGCACCTATAGCGGCGGCCGACCGGACCGTGACGGCGATGCGGGGAAAAGCACGTCAGCCGACGCGTCGGAAAAGCGATCCGACACGACAGCAACACCCCGCGCCGCATCAGCTCCGCGCGAGATAGATAGACCGGTTTAATCCGACACACTGCGAAATTGGCGTCGTGAGTTTGGCCAGTGTGCAAGTGCGTTCCGCGAGCGCGCTATGCAGCTGCCCCTATGGTAAGCAGCACGGGGCACAATTACTTGTAAAAGAACGAGCTGCCACCGGCCGGCCCCGCGGTGTGGGCGCCCCAGGCCAGCTCTTATTGGCGTGCTTCCCTCCCCGTCCGCCGCCCAACTCGCGCGCATTCTACCGCCTTTCTTTCCGCGGCACAGTTACTATTACAATGAGCATCGCCCTTTGACACACACACATAAATAAGTCGCTTTCCGGGCATAATTTTCTCCCGCGGCCCCCGCCAATTTGAATATCTGCTTCCCCAGCCGCGTGCCTCCCGCGTAGCGCCCGCACAGGCCCGCACACCACAGCAGGTATGCGAACATGACTTATTTTTCCTTCTTTTTCCGCGTTTCCGTACGACTGGCGCGTGAAGGGCCCGACTGGCAGCGGCGGCCGTCACAAATTGCAATAAGATAAGGTGGAGGCGGCTCAGGCGGGGCGCTGCTAGCTCTCCCGTCCGGATAGGAGAGGGATCCATCAAGCTGGCCGCAGCGGCGAGCGGAACAACATTCGTTTAAATTTAACTACTACTTACTGACTCTTTTGTTTTTCTCTTGTCCACAGGTTCGCATAGGGTGCGAGGGGCATGAGCACCGGCAAGCGCTTGCTCCGCCAAGGGACGTGAAGCGCTCGTCGAAGTGACGGCGACGTGACGCGACGCAGACGCGCGAGGGCGAAGTGACGGCGACGTGACGTAAACGTGACACCGAAGCGACGCGGGGGCGTGACAAGGCGTGACGAGGCGTGACGTGTGTGTTATGTGCGAGCGTGCGTGACTCCGCGCCTGAACATGCTGCCCCGGTCGGCGGTCCTGTGCGCGCTGCTGCTCCTGTGCGCGGCCGTGCTGCTCGCGAGCGCGCAAGCGCAGCAGCAGCAGGCGCCTCTGCAGCAGGAGGGCAAGAAGGCCACCAGCCTGACGCACAAGACGTCGACGACGCCGACGCACAAGACCAAGCCGACGACCCGCAAGCCCAGTAGCAGCAGCAGCAACGCCACGCCCAGCAGCAGCAGCACCACGACGACGAGGGTGAAGGCCACGGCCGCGCCCCCTACCACGCTCACGAGCAGCGGCACCACGACCACCAGCGCAGCGGCGGCCGCCGCCGCCGCCACCCTGGCCAGCACCCTGGCCAGCACCCAGCAGGGCACCACGCTGCCCGCGCTGCCGGGCACCGAGGCGCCACCGACTACTATCATGGACTCGACGGCCTCGACGCAGGCGGCCACGCGCGACGGCGGCGGCGCGGTGGGCTACTCGCCCGCCCGCAGGGAGACGCCCGTGCCGCCCGCGGCGCCCGCCGGCGGACCCCAGGTGAGTCCGACGAGCTGCTGTTCCTGCCCGGTGGTGGAATGCGGTGCCGACTCCCCCGCCCGCTCAACCATTATCCAGGACGGGCATTGTTGTGGTCTGCGGCCCGGCCAGGCCGGCGTGGACCGCCCTGCCCTCTGCGCATCCCCCGCGCGGCAGAGAACTAGGGCCCCGGAAGCGGAAGCACGGCAGGGCAGGGCTCGTTATTGGCAGAGATGCAGCCCACAATCGAGTAGCAGTAATAAGTAGCATCACGGTAAAAAGCATCGCGGGGCGCAGCGTGCGGCGTGCGAAGAGCACGTCCCTCTCCCGATGCGCCCCAAATTGTTAGCAGCGCGTCCGGGACGGGGAGTGGGGGAGGCGGCCGGCGCGGGGCGGCAAGAGCGCGCTCCCCGGAAAGCGTTCATACGCCCCCTCTCATTATCGGCGCCGGCAGGTAGCGCCCGCTGCACTTCCCCAGTGACCTTCCCAATCGGCGAGAGAGGAGGCGAGCCAACTGGGTCGCTCCGCTTCCGCCCCGCCCTGCTTCGACACATCAGCTGTTCCCACCCGACACGCTTACTTTTCTCTTTCCCTCCTCTTCGGGTAAAATAGGTCTAAAAATGCTGGAGTCAAACGCGTCGCTCTGCCAACTTCGTTTCTCTTAAGAGCGACGCTTGCTTTTGTCGCTCTATTTAAGTGACGTTTTGGTAACAATGCTTCATTTTGAGTGACGCACGCCTCTTAAAAGGAGCGATTATCCAAATCGTCATTTGTAAAGAGGCGATGTTTAAATTAATCATTTAACTGGAGCGATGTAAACAAACATCGCTCTAATTGGGAAACGATGCATTCCGTCATTCTTTTTACACATCACTCTAGGCTTCAAGAGAGGCTGGGAATGTTGCTGTGTTATAGATGGGGAAAAATATGAATCGCCGAAATCGGAAATACATAAGAATAGACCTAAGGACACGATCCGACCAGACTGAGAAAAGGCAATATTTCAAAGTATTAAAGATTAAAGAAGAGAGGCAGTCACTTTGATTTAACGTGTAGGCGGTGACACTACAGACGTCGCCTCCTTGTGGGTCACGAGGAACATGAACACGCGCGCAAGGTCGCACCTCACACCGACAACGCCGTCAACAAGAATGCCACATGGTGTAGAGAGACCTACATACACTTCTTTCTTTTCGCGACACGGAGCATCGGTCGGTACGCCGCCGACACGCGCGCGCGCGGCCCGGCGCGGTCGACAACAACGGCATTCCGACAGCATCCCGCGAGGCTCGCGCGGCGCGGGGCACGGCGCGGGGCGCGGTGCGGACGCTCGGCGCAGACACATTTTGTGGGGACGCCTGCCTTTTGCGTGGCGCGCAGAGAGCGCTTTCGCGTCTGACGCTCAGCCCGCCCCGCTCGGCCCGGAACACTCAGACACTTCGCTCGGCGCGCCGTGAGCATGCCCGCTTTATGTACATTGTATCTCCGCGCCTCGGTGGTAATGTCTGCTACATTTCAGAAAGGTCACGCGGCAGACTCTGCAAAAAAATGCAAAGGCAAACAAACACGGAACACGCACGCGCGCGCAGTGTGTTCCAGGAGCCGGCGCGGGCAGAGACGGGGGGCTGCCATAAAAAAGGTGCTGCAGCCGCCTCTCATCCTCGTCCAAACTAGCTGCCCGAGCCATTGTGTGCTTTCAATAATGCAAAACCCTTCGGCCGGGCCGCTGGCAGCCGCTGCTGCGCCTCCGCCAGCCGGTCGCACTCCGCGCGCGCCGTAAAAGAGGCACCAACAGGCGTGTAATAGTAATAAGGAGATATTTCAATACAAATCGCGGATAGCGGGGCCCTTCCTCTCCTCGGCAAGGGTATTCCTTTGTCTCGATCCGCAATAAATATAAATGGCTGCTGCCGCCGCGCCTCGCTCCGCGCCGCGGGCCTCGTTGTGTGCAGAATGCGCCGGGGTGGTCCAGTGGCGGAGGCGCGAACGGACCGAGGCGCAGACGCACCGGGGTACCCGGCGAAAAATAGCGGCGGCCTGGACAGGGGCACAACTGCTCGTCCTGACGGAACAAAAGGCCGCGCGTGTCTCAAAGTATAGAGTTAAAATATAGCGATGTGCACATTTTGCGGGTTGTTAAAATATATGTACTAGGGTTATTTCATTACATCAGTACAGTTTTTTCGACATCGCAAAAACGGTTTCGAAAAACGCCCGACCCACAAAATTCGAGGTGTGCACAGCACATCACTCTAAATGTAAAGGGACAATTTTGTTCCTAACACGAATTTTCCATTAACGTTTATAGTGTGCTCGTGAGTTTTGACCCAGGTTAATCGCCAAAGCATCGCCAAGGCATCGCCAGCGAGGCACTGCTGGGCGTGGAGGTGCGGTGGTGCGGCGGTGAGCGGGCAAGTGGAGCGGAACACAACGGGGGCCCCGCGGCGAGGAGAGGACATCGCACAGCTGGGTCCTAAGTCGCGCGGGCCACGTGCCGAGCCACTGCAATAAACCAGGCGACGCACTCGCTGGCAGGCGATGAGGGCCCGGACCCATACTATCGCCGGCCTGCCAGCATGATCAGGTTCCGAGTAGGAGGCTGGGCTCGCTGGGCAGCGGCCTGGCCCCGTTGGCACCTCGCGAGCCACTCCGGCCGTTGCGTGGGACTCTTTGCTGCACTTCCGTCCACCTCGGCAAAACAGGAATTTCTAGCAAAATAAGCAGCCAGAGCGTTCCCTCCTTTTCCAATAAATGAAATCCGAAGCAGCTTTATTCCATTCGTTCGTTACGTTTGAAGTACTATCATTCTCTTAGACGTAGCACATGATTTTCTTTTTAAAATGACGAATAGGTTTTGAAGCGTGCTCGGACACTAACATCATAGTTTAACTGTTTCCAAACACCGCGTCGCACTCTGTAACCTGCCGCGCGTGCCCCGCTGCATAAATTTCGCATTAGCGCCATGCCCATTTGGATCTGGCGAGCGGCAGCAGTAGCAGTGCTGCTAGTCCCGTCCATCGTTTGTGACAGTGTAATCCCATCTCTCTTTCTCTCTCTCTCTCTCTCTCTCTCTCTCTCTCCGGACCAATCCAATCCAATCGCAATCCCGTAGGGAGATACGCCAAATCGGAGTCCGGGAGCTTATAAGGCGTATCGGCGAGGCGCCCCGCCAGGATCACGTCGTATGCACAAGCACACACACACACACACACACACACACACACGCACAGGCGCCCGCGCGAACGCACGCACACTCTTACAAGGACGTGTGTGCCTCGCGGCGATCTCTCTATTCGCCCGCAGTCTGTTCGTAACCCCGCCAAGTGCAGAACACGCAGCAGGAGCAGGCGGAGGAGGAAGGCGAAAGAGGAAGCAAGGAAAAGAGAAGGATGACGAGGAAAAAAATGTGTCCGTCCGGATGGACGATGTATCAGGCCGCAGCCTGTCTGCCGTGTGTGTGGCGTTATTTATACCGACGATCAGCCTCCGTTCTATAATTGATCTCACTCGACATGCAAATAACTCTTCTACACTGCAAACCAAATAAGATTGCTGTACAAATATGCAATTGCGTCGGGGTGGATGAAGTTATTATATGATGCAAACGATTTGCTGCCTACCCGCGACCATTGGTGAATCTGTGTCCGGTCGCCGTTGAGTAACCATATGCTGATCAGACACGAGAATTTTGCGAGTACTACACTGATAAACCAAGTGTTCAACTGCTCAACACTTGTAAGTGTGCAACCGCAAGTTGAATACTTGCAAGTGTGCAACTCCGTAGTCGTACACTTGCAAGTGTTAAACTCGGTAGATGTGCACTTGCAAGTGTGCAACTCCTCGGTTGCACACTTCCTTAGATTAGACGCTTACTGTGTAGGAAGTGTTCAACCGAGGAGTTGCACACTTGCAAGTGCACACCTACCGAGTTGCACACTTGGAAGTATTTAACTTGCAGTTGCACACTTGCAAGTATTTAACTTACAGTTGCACACTTACAAGTGTTGAACAGTTGAACACTTAGTTTATCAGTGTACAGAGAGAAAACTTTACCGATCAAAAAGAACTTGGGATCAAGACCTCGGAGTTTAAAAAATACGTACGGTTTTTGTTGTGTTTTTACCAAAATTATTTGACAAAAGATAACTCGGCGCCTGGGTAGGCCAACCCGCAGTACACGCATGCACTGCAGGCAAGATGTTGCCTACCTCACAGGGGCCATGAAAGCTGTTGGGCTCAACTTTGCAGGCCTGCAACGGCCGTGGCTAGAGTTGGCGAATGTGCATGGGGGTTAGTGTTTTTGACAGGGCGGCCGTGACCGAAAATTTAAGCCCGTCCCCATCTAAATCAGTTTTGGGCGGATTAAAATTTTAGGCTATACACGCCCTATTAACAACATTATAGGGGGTGATTCAGCCATCTGATGCAAATGAACATTTCAGAGAGTCACCAAGCTAAGCAAGCTAAAGAAAACCCAACAGGGTCTTCTTTTTCCACTGCCGGATCTCCGCAGCCAGCAGACTTAGGGCCGGAGGGGCTTCCACAATTGAGGACCAGAACGCGAGGGTCAGTCAGAGACAACAGCCCGCCCACGCAGAGCCTAACGTACAGCGCGGTGCAGCTCGACCGCTAATCTAAGCAAGCTAAAGTAAAACTCAACAGGGTCTTCTTTCCCCGCACCGCCGCATCTCCACGGCCAAGTGGCATTGGGGCAGGCGCGGCCCCCATCATTGGGGACCTGAACGCGAGGGCCAGTCCGAGACAACAGTCCGCCCGCGCAGAGCCTAACGGACAGCGCGGTGCAGCGCGGCTGCTGCGGTTACGCCCGGCTGGCCGGCCATAGCACGTTTGCCGTGGTAAATCAGCCGCTAATGACGACTCTAAGTGTCACCCGCGGGCCCGATACGATAACTCGCGCGACAACGGAGTATACCGAGCGAGCCGGCGGCCAGAGGAGCGAGCGAGCGGGCAGCAGCGCGACGTGGGGGGAGCTCTCTGCTCCTGACGCAAATAAATAAAAT